TCCCACTTAGTCACGCCTTTACCGGGCCGGTTACTTGCTAGTGAGTTCTTGCGTTGCTGGTCTTCCTATTCTTTATCCGTCTTTGCTCCTCCTTACGGCGGACATTATGTGAAGATAGTTCTACGTTATTGTGCCCATCTGGCATAAATTTGATTGAGCCAGATAAACTACTGATCTCAGTAGTATTCTGGCTATAAGTTATTAGTCAGACAGTCAGTCTGCCCTCAGTTATTGTTGTTGTGAGTTATTAGTTCAGAGTGACTTCGGAATAATGAAAGCTTCGCCTCTTAGATGCGCTTTGCTTGCGTTGTATTTAATGTTCTTAGTAATTTGAAGTGTAACCACTGATTTGTACTCTGTAATATTGTGAATATCTGTGTATTTCGGTAAAGAGCTCCAGAACTCCGTAGTGTTTCTTTTGATAAAATATATTTTATAAACCTATCAATCTATTACGAACCCGTACGCAGGCAACACGTTTAATTTAATAACTGAGACTTTTATTAAATAATTTCTCTTTGCCCATGTTCTTAGTATTACTATTATTTTCTGACTTTCTTTAAAGAAGATAAAAACTAAAAATTGTGAGAAGTAAGATCTACATTAGAACACAGAAAAGGGACCAGATTCAGAAATGTATGTGTTCATATATGTATGTATGTGCATATTTACGTAGGTATGCACGTACATGCACACATACATACATATGTCTCCACTCGAATATGAGCATCAGGAATTTGGAATTTAGCCCAGATTTGGAATTTGGAGTTTGTTTTATTATCTATTTCACATTTTGTAAAACTTTAACGAATTTTTTATTACCAAACTCAACGACTTTAAAACGAGCAATGGCAACACAGTATGGGGGAAAAAAGATTATCTACATAGCGCGAGATTGTGTATAGGAAATTCTAAAGATATGCTCTTTTTAAATTATTTTGTAATATTGCTGTTGAATTAAATTTGATGGTTCAAGTGCGAAGAATGTGATGTTTAATAAATAAAGGTAACACACAAAACGATAAAACAATGCCCCTTTGGACGTTATATAAAATCTGAAAGCTTTCAGATTTTTTTAAGTATCATTTTGATTTCAACAATAGGCTCTTCAGTGAATTGGATTGCAAGCTAAATTTTTCAGGCTAGATTTTTTAAATAATTATTCTTTTTTATGTTATTTTTTCGATTTGGTAAATTTAGTACATTACCCCATCCATCATAAACATTGATCAATATTCACTCCCGTGATCATTTACGTGATTAGTATTCAATATGGGGCAGGAAGATTAAATGTAAATCTTTTCCACAGATAGGCTGGTGGCATTGAAAGCAAAAACGCTAATGAGAACTAGGGGACAAAACCGGTGGGAGTTTGATCAGCAATGTGTTAGACGGTAGCTAATTATTTACAGTAACATACTTTCAGCACAATGCAAAAATTTTTCAGATTGCGATGGCTGTATCTCTTCAATAATGAAATGTTTGGTTAATTAATACCCATTAGCTATCTACCCTTAATTGTAATTAGTGAATAGGAAAAGCTACGCATATCATCTTTCAATTAAAATCTCAGTGGTATTACAGGATTACAAGCACGTAAAAGTCACAGTCACACTCAGTCTTTTCAAAGCAGTGATTAGATATGATCTGACAGTCATGAGCATGAGGATTGTTTGTCTGAATAGAGGCTTCTTAACAAAAGGCTTTCTAAGGACAACTGCTGATATTTACTTTCACGTAGATATGTAGAAATATTAGCTATTTTGGAAGCAGGAGATGTGAAAAATGAGCAATGAGCAACACCTTCGCCGGGAATCGAACTACGGACCTCTGGATACGCGCCTAGCTTGCTGACCACTACACTACGAAGGCATGCTAAGAAGGTGGGAGAAATACCTAATATACTCCCCCTTTTAAAGGGTAACTGGGGTTTTAGGGGACCCAATCGCCAAATCCTGGGCGTGGAGAATCATTATTCACCACCCTTTTAGTTCGGGCCCTGTACAGACATTAGGTATTTGGGAAACAGAAAATGTTATGTTATGTAGAAGTGAGGGGGGCCACGTAATATTTACCCTAAGTAAGCAGGTATTATCCCCACACACTAACCAGAAAACTAACAACATTCTGGCATCATTCCTCGAGTCGTGATGGAAATTGTGACTCCAGTGAGCACTTCAAGTACTGCCACCGGCGGCGACATCAACGGTACTCCTAACCTTTCAGCGTTAAATTAGCTCAAGTAAAAGGGATTAAATTACATGATATATATTGAGATATACATAGTTGTGCAGGTGCATATTTCAAGATGTTATCTATTGTAGTGGGTACCGGCAACATGTTTCAGAACATTATATATTGCATTTGAAACAGGCATGATGTTTCCACGTTAAAATCATTTTTGTAAACATGATCTGTTTACTATCAGAATTAATTAAGAACTATAAAATTGTTTACAAAGCTTTAGATAAACAACGTAAAACAAACCTATAAACAACTTAAACATGCAGCCAGCTAGAATCGAATCTGGAATGCAGTAGCAGTCAGTGACTTTTACCTTCTGGATAATTAGTGGAGAAATTTTTTGCAAATATTTTAATGCCATATAAATAGGCTGAGTTCTGGAGAAACAGGGTTTAACAGCGAAACCAAGACGTAGAAAATTTTACATTTCATTAAAAAATAACATTTTTTTAAATTTAATACAATCCATAAAGTGAAAGACTGGTAGATTTTACGCACTTACATATTAAGTTATTTAACACCAATAGCTACTATAAGCTACTACATGATATATTACATACTGAAAAAGCTTATAATATTTTAACAAGTGCAACAATAGGGAAAATTTGACATTAAAATATTTATTGGATCTTGTATAGCTAACTAATATATCGAAGATATTTATTAGAGTGTATAAAGCTGGTCAACACCAAAAATGCATAGATGGCCAGTATCTCGAAGTTGTACCCCGGTCGCCCAATCGGGCATAGTGTGATCGGTTGCCAGACCGATTAGCCCAGGTTTGAATCCCTTATAATGTATGGATGTTTGTAACAGGGCTAATTAAATTATTTTGTGATATTGCTGTTGAATTGAATTTTATAGTTCAACTGCAAAGAATGTGATGTTTATTAAATAAAGGTAACACACAAAACGATAAAAACGCCCCCTTTGGACGTAATATAAAATCTGAAAGTCTTCAGATTTATTTTATTTTATTTATATATATTTTTTGTGCAACGTGTACATATACGTGCATATACATACATACATACATTTTTGAATGCTCTTTCGATAACAGAAAAGTTCCGAATACAATAGCGGACATTATTATGCTATGTTTGAAGCCTGACTAAATTTGAATAAATTTCAGGTGTATAGAAAAGTTTGAAATTATTTTTATTTGAATGACTATTATATTTAATTGTTGATAAACTTTGAACGAAAATATTATATTTGATAGAAAGAACTTATGAATTCCACTACCAAATATTAGTATTTGAACCTCAGTATAATGCCCTTTTAATGAAAATTAAGTTACAAGTTCAAAAATGTTTGTGTTAATAAATAAATAAATAAATAAAACAAGAAACTGTTAATGTATTGTGCCAGTGTAAGTAATATACTGAATTCTTAATAAAATCATGTCAGAAATAATATGAAGAAAAATATGAACTAGTAGTTAGAAGAAAACCAAAACCTACAGGAGAATTAACCCAAACTCAACCTAAGCACAGTGGTCCAAATTATCGTGACAGTGTCAATTCCTGGGAGTTCCGACGCAGTGAGCCTAATCTTTATTGTCCTTAACCTAACTCCCTCCTTTTTTGTTCTAGTTATCGTTGATCATTTTCTTAGTAATTAAAGTACCAGTTTAATTGAACGAAAATGTTTCCATAAATGTTTTGTTGATGTGTGCTACTATATGAAATTTTTTATACTTGTTTAAGTCTGCTAAGTCAAAAAGAATATCCGAAGATATTTGACCTTACTGAGAGCGTAATATGAAACATATACAACATAATTATGGCAAAATATTTGCGAGCAAGTAATTACATTTAGATTACAAAATTCTCTATTTTCAAACTACAAACTCAAGAATTATTTTATCAAGGTTAATTTTTTGGGTCTAATTTCAATTGAGACAAAACTATACTAGTGAGCCATTTCTGTCCCATAGTAAATTTTACGTTTTGCCGAGTGGCAGCAGATTTATTTTACATAAAAGGATTTTCTTATTAAATTTCAAATATAAACATCTTACTCTTTCTCCAGTGGCTATTATATCGCTGAGTTTTTAATCAAACGTTCCTTAAATTCCCCCAAAATATGAAATAAATAAAAGAACCAATTAAAAATCCGGGCTTCGAATTGCACAAGTTCGGGTGGAGGACTTTAAGTGTTCAGAATTAGATGGCTACTAAAGTCGAAAACAAAGTTATTGCTTTTCGTGAAGTGACAACAAAAAGCTTTCTGTCGCTTAGTTTTCTAAATAAAATTGAAACTTAAGTATCTTACGCTTTACGGAACGGTAACACAAACTTTTAAATCTCCGAGATTTTAGTCAAAAGCTACTTAAATTCGCCCGAAATATGAATAAATATAAAACGAATTCGAAATCTAAAATTCGGCTTTCAGGATGCACATTTTCAGATAGAGGACTATGTGTATCAAAATTTAGTGGTTTCTGTGACATCGTGATTCTTCATTATTTAATAGTATTGAAAACTATTAAACCTTTTCATACGGTGCATTATTACTTTTTTGCTGCATAAATAATCGTGAATTATTCTTTCATGTATAATAAACCTTATAAACATTTAAGTTTCAGAATCGAAACCTCAGAGTGGTTTGGTGCGTATTGTTTCCAAGCTGCAGTAAAGGCTGATAAAAAAGATCGATAATTTATATCTCTCTTTGTTATTAATTATCAGTAGCTTTGAAGAGCTCTGGTATAAAAAGGACAGAGATTTTGAATGTGTTATTTTCCCCCTTCGACTCCTGATACGTAAAAGTGTTATTTCCCCCTTTCGACTCCTGTTACTGTGAAAACTAATGTTTAAGAAACCCTTTTAAAAGACAACAGCTGCCTATAACGTTTTATATAGCATAAAATGGTCATTCGTTTAACCATTCGATTTCAGACGCAGCTTGTGCTCGTCGAAATATTCATTGAACCAACAATAAGAATGATACTTACTAAAGATAGATTAATGGCCAGTGTAGAGAAATACCCAGCTCTTTCACAGCTGATTCCATCAGAAGAAGGGCATATTATCGCTTCTGATATTACAATGGATGGATTACTGAATATAATGAGGTCAGTGAAGCTCTTAAATTCATGATTTTCAAAATTTAAACCTGAGATTGTTTGGCTGTGTATAACAGGAATTGTTAATAATTTTTAAATGTACAATCAGTCATATTTTGATTTTGATTTACATTTTACTATTTTAGCCAGCCATATTCAGAATTTAAAACTTTTGTTAAATAAACCATTTTGATCCATATTCAGAACTATAGGTTAAGCAAATGTAGTTTATGAATTTCGAGTAAAACTTGCTTAAGAGAGAAAACTTATCACTTAGATCAGTAGTCTTCAAGCTTTGCCATCTCCCAGACCCCCTAAAACTATAAGGGTTTTCGGGAAATTTTACCCCACCTTTAGAAAAATGTATCTTAAAAATAATATTTAATGTAGATCTATAGGAACTTTACGCGAACATTGTTAAAGAAAAGTACTGTATTTTTTATTTTAAAATGTTAACGTAAAATTAGCATAATTTACTCATTATGATATTATCTGCAGTCGCATTCCATATTCTGGATTAATTTGTTTCTGTGTTTTGTTTTTATTGCCACATACTTGGAGAAATATTTTACTCTTAATATTATACTGTTCTAAAGGGCCTGAAAATTTCTGGATATTCTGCATGCATTTGCAACCAAAAATTTAGTAGCTCTTCTTTCTTAAATTTAGATTTTAAAGTTGAATTTATTTACACGTGGATAAGTCGTCCCTTTTCTTTCGGATTTTTTATCCAGTCATACTTAGTTTTTTTCTCTTCTGTGAAATATTCTTTTACAGTTTTTTTTTTCATTTAAAAAGTCTGCTATATTACATAATTTTTAACACTGTCATCTAAATGTAATTCATCTTCCATCACAAAAATTGTTTAATTTTGCAAAGTATTGCATGTGATTCTCTTCGACATATGTTATATAGTATATGTCAAAGAGAATCGCGATCGACACACGTTATATGTCGAAGTTTTATTTTGAGTCGTGAAACTCCGAGCTTTGATTAGGAAACACCGCGGTTCCCCGGAACACAGTTTGACGACCACTCATCTAAACTATGCGGAGACTACAAGATCATGTAGACCACGATAGAATTTCGAACACATACTAACCAGGCTAACTTCGGTGTAATCCCAGCAAGATCAGTATTGTCTGCTATCAACAGGGCAGCGGAAACAGGCCAAAACTCTCACATTCCTATTCGTAAAACTGTTCTTTTTAGAGTAAAAACTGCCTGTCGCACAAAATCTACGTAAAATCTGAATTGCAAATCCCCTGATAAAAAGAGGCAGAAAAAAAAAAGAATTAAATAATTTAACATGTCGTTGCAAAAACGCAGATGCAATAACAGTGAAAAAATTCCTGTTAAATTGTCGTTGGATAATATTTCTCAGCAATGATGATATTAAGGAATCAGTATAAGAAATTAATAAAGATCATTTAAATTCATCAATTGTGAAAGGTTTTTAAACCATAAAAATCATGAAACCAGTTTCACTTTTTAGTCCAAAGGAGCTTTGTCCCTGAAGGACTATTGTTTTCGTTTTGCGATTTTGCGTTGAATTACTATACTAAATGCCCGTTTCACTTTTCAAACAGTTTCCACCAAAATTTTAGAGTCTTACATTAAATTTGAAGAAATTAAATAATGAAAAACCTGCATAAATGTATGTCTATTTCTCGCATTGTGATAAAACAACGGTACATAGAGCTATCGAATTTTGAATAACATAATCCTTCTACGAATATGGGCATGTGGAAGACCAAATTTGAAATTTGGAATTTGTTTTATTATTGATTTCATATTTTGTAAAACTTTAACGAATTTTTGAGTAACAAACTCAACGACTTAAAAGCGAGTAATGGCAACACTCTACGGCTGGGAAAAAAAAAACCTTTTCATCCCCAGCGGGCGCGGAACTGTGTATCGGAAATTCTAAAGATAGGCTCATTTTAAAATTATTTTGCTGCTGAACTGAATTTTATGGTTTAAGTGCAAAGAACATGATATTTAATAAATAAAGGTAACACACAAAACGTTAAAAAAACGCTCCTTTGGACGTAATTTAAAATCTGAAACCTTTAAGTTTTTTTGGGAGGCGTCTCTTTTTTTTTTTTTTTTTTTTTACTTTTTGTTTGGCATTTTTAACATAATCACAGGGTGGAACACTTGTACGTAAAGTGCTAATAAATTGACGCCGGAAAAATTTTGCCCCATTGTTGATTGTTGATATTCAAGAATCCAGATAAGAAATTTCTACAGACCTTTAAAATTCATCAGTTCTAGATGTTGGAACATTTGGAAGATATTGAACTCTTACAATCTTCTGGTATTTGTAATTCGATGCTAATACTTTGAGCTATAGTATAGGCGGACTATAGAAATATCCTGTCATAAAACATCTCTTGTTTTACGAAGTTCTGTTACGAATATTAAAAATTTCTTTACGCAAGCCACACACTGTAGCATATTTAGATTTCTTTATCTTAAAGTATTAACCACAACTAATATTAGTATGATACAAGTAACATTTAATATCACACTCACGGTTGATGATTTTGAAGTACAAAAAGCCGAGGTGGCGAACATTAAAACTCTTTCAGCGGCTATTCAGATTCAAGTGATTGGCGATCATCGAAAGGATGTTTACAAAATTTAACAGATAACGAATACATTTTTGGGTTTTAGGGAAACTTGAATTAATTTGAAATAGAGATTTCAAAGAGAAATTTTATCAAATTCGCAAATTTATTTTTCATAAGATGGAAGATTCAAATCAGCAATTAATTTTCTCATATAAAGGAAGAACTAATTTATTGAAATTAGAACAGAAACGACATTTTACGTCTATTATTATTACCCACATATTGTTATGCTCATAAATAAGATAACGAGAAAGTTTTTTCTAGTGTAGGTAGTTGGATTCACTGTGTAAATAGATAGAGATCTATGAATCAATGCAGGACGCTGAAACTCTCAACATAAAAATAGAAACATAATAAATTTTGAAATTACATGGTAGGCAGGTTCGTGTGAGGGCGGGTGAGATAACGAAAAATTATACTCTTAAAAAGCGTAACAGCCCTGGATTTGAAGACCATTTAATGACTACAAAACCCACTAGAACTACGTGCTCACGGGAAGGGGTACTTCCATGGATGTATTTAAAAAAAAAAAAAAAAAAAAACTGACTCGCATTCACATTACATACGGGGAGAAACAAGAAAGCTTGAAAGAAATGTAAAAATTGGTTCCAGATATGAAACCTCCCTGCAAAATATTTTAAAACAATCCAACATTTTTTTAACGATAAATCAAAATTTCTACAGCAAATCTCCGTTTATATATTTCAACAGCAAATTAAAAATAGAATTTTTTTTGCTTGGTTTCTTCATTTAATTAAATCAAATCCTGAAATTCGTTTTTAACCCCCTTCTATCAACCAGAATTTCTTGAATTTTCCGGCATATACGTACCTATGACGACGACACAATATTCTTGAGAAATGTTTAAAAAATTCCGGAACAAAAATTTTTTTGTTTAGTGTTAAATATTTTTCACATATCTTCCTCCAACGGTCAAATTAATCATAATTTCGATATTCACGCAGTCGGAGATGGACCAGAAAATAATTTTCTAAATGAAAAACTTTTGCGACTTTAAAAATAATTTTTGAAATTCTGGTGTTTAACAAAAAACGATTTTTTATTGCATAATTGTTAATAGGGATGGGTTTTAGAATCCTTCACTGCTAGTAGCCCTATAGTTTTAAGTGGCGCGATATAAGTTACAAAAGAATTTGAATTTTAACAAGCATTTAAATTGGTTATTCAATATTATGATTATATGAAAATGTTATTCAATATTATGCCTATATGTTAGACTATATAAGAATGGAAGATTTACTCAGTCTTAAAATATCACCACAATTTTTTTTCCATATAGTTCTCTTCAGTGAAAAGGCCAGTAGGTTAGAGAACAATACGTTGCAGATAAAAAGTTTGTTTACGTAGAAAGTTTTGCTGAAACAAAATAGAGCTTGATAAAAATAAATGTTAAAAAGGAAGAGTTTCCAATGAAACCCAAAATATGAAGGGTCTGAAATTAAAATTAAATTTTTATCTTGCCCACACACACATATATGTAAATCGAGAGAGAGAGTGTGTAAAATTTAGCAAAGTTTCAGCTTCAACAGTTCATTTTTTGACAGCCATGTGCTTGCTCCTTTTACATTTTCCCTTTATTTTTGCGGCACGTAAGACGCATGTAGGACCTTAAGCTGTTGTGCAATCAGTGTTATTGCTTCAGATGTGATTTCTAACTTTCTTTGGTCGAAACAAGAAAGAGAAATTCTTCAAGGCACTTTTATATGTTGTTGTTGATGATGATGATAGTAATACTACTACTAATAATAATAATGATTTATACATTTAAAAAAACAGTACAGTTGGCAGCAATAAAAAAGGAAAAGAAATTAATTTCATATTGGATTTAGTTTTATAACTAACTACGTAAAAGCATCAAAAAAGGGTACGAGCTTGGATTAACTTAATCAAACATCTTTTCACTCTTATATCTTTTTCTGAGTATATAAGCCTCGTTAGAATGGCTTTTACTACGTGAATTATCTAATTGTATGCCCAAAATACCCCAAGCTGTACGATTATGTTTTCAAACTCACTCTTAATTTATTATAAATCATGTTGGCCTAAGAAGTATGCATACATTTTTGAACTACTTAGTAACAAATTAAACAACAGAATCTAATTACTGCCTAGGCTCAGAAGGTCCAGGCCTAAAACTCCCAGACCTTAAGGGCACCTCAAATTCCTCATTGCTGGACTTTCTCATTACTTTTCTCTTACACAAAAACAAAAAGCATTGCGTGTCCCTGAAATAATACTACGCATAGGCCATCGTCTATCTTAATCAGGCCCAGTCGAGCAATATTTGACATTTGAGCTTGGCTAATTAAGTGGAAAATACAAATAAATATATATCATCGATAAATACAGATA